TATATATATATATATATATATATCAATATTACATATATCTTGATATTTAAAATAAAAAAACAAAATAAAAAAAAATCGAAGTATTCTTACATATATCAATATTTAATAAGAAATATTTATTTTTTGGTCCATGTAACTTCACTGTAATAAACAAAATAAAATCTTTCTGCATTTAATAATGCAGAACTATAAAAGATTTTATTTTGTTTATTACAGTGAAGTTACGGTTTTATTTACAGATTTGAAGTTAGAATTTAGAATTTTATTTACAGATTTTAAAACTTTACATAATTTTTGTACTACATTGAATTATGAAATAATTATTAATTAATTGAATACATTGAATTATGAAATAATTATTGTTTCATTGATTCGTTATTCTTTCTTCTCCGATTCCTTCGTATTTAGCTAAAATAGAAAAAAATAACAATTAAGTTTCTATATAATGATTAAGAATGAATTATTGATATCCAATGATTATATTAAAAATAAATGTAACTCAGATAAAGGAATAATAATAATGATAATAATAGTAAGTGAGGAAGATAATAGGAAGGATACCTATGTAATTATACATCTACTTAAGAGACTTTGATTTTTTTGAATTTTGTATGGAAGAAGTTTCTGTGGTAGAAGTTTCTTTCATTGTTATTGATTCAACAGATTTTGAATCTTCTTTAGTGTGAAGAAATGAGATATAATGAGTGTCAGATAAATTGCTTTCTTGAAATCTTCCAAACACTATGACAAAATTTTTGTAAGAAATCAATTTTAAAATTATTGTATGAAGTTATATATTTTTAATGTAATATATTTTAAATTTTTATAATATGCAAATTTGCAGATTTTAAAGATTATATTTATCTAGATTATACTTATCTCTTTAAAGAGTTTGAATATTATACTTATCTAAAATTTTTACAATATATGATATTTCATAATGGCAAACTATATTAACATGATTACAAGATTAGGAGGAATGATGCAATAAAATAATTTTATTGTTGCATCCTACCTCCTCTTTTTCAGTTGTATCATCCGTTTTCTTTTCAAAAAAACTAGATAAATCTTTCTTTTCAAAAAGTTCAGGTAAAGCTTTCAGTAATTCAGAAAATGAAATGTCCTTTATGTTATCTCCTGGTTTCACTGAAATTTTTAATATAGCATTGAAATTTACATAATATTTTTGCATTATAAACATATGATAACTTAAATAAAATACAATTACAAAATTTTTTAATATTTATATTCATATTTTTTATATTTTTTATAATAAAGTTTATGAATAACTTGTAAAAATTTAAAGACTTTTTTAATTTATGTAAAACATATTATAAATTCAATTTTTTAATATTAACATTATTTAATATTATATAATAAATGATACTGTAGAAAAGTTCATATTGCTTGCCATTTCTATGATTAACATGTAAGTTAAATAAATAGATTTAATTACATTTTTAACAACTGTGTAAAATAAATAACATACATGTAATAATAAATAACATACATACCGCCAAAAATGAAATTGAAAGTAATATTTCTATAATGTCCTAATGTATTAGCTACTTGTTGTGCTTCTTTAGGGAAACAAACACATCCAACAATACTAGCACCTGCAGTTGTAGCAACCAATTTGGTTGGTATGCCTCTTCTGAGACTTAATACTAATCCTGATAAACCACCAATACCAACAGCTCCTATTCGTGGCATAAGATTAACTTCATCTTGGAGATAATCAACTACAACTAAAAAAATATTACATATTAGTAAAGTTTGTATACAATAGCATAGTTTCAGTTGTATTAAAGTATTCATAAATCTTCTATTACATTTAATATTATCAAGATATTTAAAGGTATTTGAAATATCAAGGAAAACTCCATCCAATACCAGTTTTACTGCTGCCACACTTTGACGTATTTCTCTAATTTTTGTTTCCACAATAGAAGGATGTTCCACGCTATAAAAAATTAATCATAATGAATTGGTCACTATTATAATACAGTGCAATGTCTTTTTAAGAGAATCTTAAAAATAAAAAATTTATATTTTAAATAAGTCATGTTTTTTTCAGAAATTCTTTTATACATAAGAATAAAAATACATTTATCAAATTACTTGCGCTTTACCATGGCAACTGTTTAGAATACCCATTATCATCAACAGAATAAATGGGTAATTCTGATGGTTTTATTAATTTCTTTTCTTGTGTTTCATTATTACAAGGCTTAGTACGTTCTTCAGGAGTTAGAGGTTTCATTATTGGTACTGCAGCACATAGCCCACAAGGCATCAAGAATTTCTTAAACAACTTCATATAAATATATATTTGATTTCTATTTTCTATATTAGTAATAATATTTAAATGATTTTTGAGAAATTATTTATATTTATTACAAATAAGTAATAAATAATAATTTATATTACAAAATTTTTCTATATTTTACTATTTATTCAATCTAACAAATATAACAAAAAATATAAAATAAGATGAAATGAAGGAAAAATTATAAAATTAAAATAAACAGTATCAAATATAGTAATTAAAATGTCATATCTGTATTTATCACAGGTTTATAATTACCATTGTTCGATTCATTTTAAATTGTAATTTAATGATAATTTTCAGACATAACACGTTTTCAGATACGTAATTTTTTTATAAACTATGTAAGGACATGTCAAAACGATCATACTAATAATAATACAGTCTCAGCACTAAAGGTATTAAGAATACGACATCTAGTGTTACATTTAGAAAACATAATTGTAAATATGAAATATTTGAAAGAAAACGAGCATTATTAAATATCATCCTGTTCAAATGTTATTATTACCGAGCAAATATAAAGGGAAAAAATAAACTTTTTAAATATTTATTCTTATCAATATTCGTAGTAACGCAAAATTAATATTATCAATTTAAAACTAATTAAATAAAATAAATGTATAATATACATACATAATATACATTTATTACAAGAATGTTTTTAAAATTATATGATGTTTGTTGATGATGAATGTTTATAATATATATACATAATATACATTTATTACAAGAATGTTTCTAAAAATATAATTCAAAATATATAATGTTTCTAAAAATATAATTCTAAAAATATAACGTTTCTAAAATATAATTCTAAAATATAATTCTAATACATATAAAATGTACTTACCAAATTTATATTCAATTTCAACGAAAATTTATGAGAAATGTAAGACTTAATTATTAAAATCAAGTATCTTTATACGTACATTTTCTACTTACAGTACTTCATATAAAATTGACATGATATTCATCAATTGACAAGGCTTTCTTTACGCTGTCAATGATAAATATTCACAATATTTAAAAAAAAAAGAGAATCGAGATATATATATTTTAGCTTTTTTCTGTATTATATGTTGTTATATATAATAAAAATATATAAATTGAAATTAAATTAAATTTTTTTTCTTTAAAAGTTAAGTAATCTATTTTGTGATTCATTAGTTGATATCTTGATAGTTACAATAATGTGTTCGGAGAATTATTATTTAAATACATACTTTTATGCCAGTTCTTCCAAATTCTACTAACACACCTGGTTGATAATCATCGCATCGATGCACTGGTTCTCTGCAAGTTACATCTTTGCCAAATATATTTCCAATAGTAGATTCTAAAAATTTGTGCACGTAATTGTGCATAACGATCTTAGACTGTAATTTCACTATTTAAAATTTTTTAATTCTTATATTTCTTACAAAATCAGAAGTTTTTAATAAGTCATTTTTATATATATATATATATATATATATATATCTTTTAAATATACATATATACGTACATATATACGTAAAATTCTGCTGCTTTCACACGTATCGCTAATTTGTTTAAAAATTTATAAACAAAATAACATTTTCTTTTCCTTTTTTTTCTTGTAATATTATTTTATCTTTGAATTTTGTTCGGTATAAAAATTTTTTAAAAGTATAATTTAAAAAAAATAGATAATAAAATAATGATTTTTATTTATTGTTTTTATATTAATAAAATAATTAAACACATATATACATAAATTAAAATTATTTTTTTAAAAGGAATTTCTAAAGATTGTAAAAAAAAATTCCTCTATTTTTTTATTTAATACTTTAATATTTAATATTTAATATTTAATATTTAATATTTAATATTTAATATTTTAATATTTAATATTTTTTATTTAATTTTATTTAATTGACAACAGTTTAATACAATTTCAATAAACATATATGTTTTTAATATACATATTTACACACATGATCGCAAATAGAATTTAAGAAAAAATGTATTAAAATATAAAAAACTATAAAAACAAATTTATTGACTATAGAATAAAAATCTTAATGAAAGTAATATGAATTTTTTACTAATTAAAATACTTTTTGGTTTCAATATTTTACTGTTTTCTGCGTATTCATAACTATTTTTTATAATAATATCTTTCATCTTAAAGCTGCTTCCCAGAGATCGTTCTTTTTTATAATATTAACAATCATTTCTTGACTAACAGACCATAATTTTGCTGCAAGTTCAGGGTCTAATGCAGTGATAGATGGAATACAACGATAACAATTATTGAAATAGCATTTAGTTACCCCTTCCAATTCTGGTGCAGTTGCACAGAAAACTGATGTACTAGCAGCTTGTTGCTGTAAAATTGAAAAAAAAAAATTGTAATTACGTTTTCCTAAGAAATCTTTTTTAAATAAATAATTATCATACCAATGACTTTGTAAAAGGTCGTACTAGCATAAACAAAAATCGTAATATCCATGAATAACGAGACAATGAAGAAGAGACCATGTTACCAGGATGGCAACTAAACACATTTACAGAAGGCCACCGGTTTGCTAATTCTTGTGCAAATAAGATATTACATAATTTTGAATTATTGTACGCTTCCATATACCAATATTTATATGCAGGAGGAGATAAAATTAATTGATGAAAATCTTCTATTGTTTGTAAAGATGAAAATCTATTGATAAACATAAAATATCTCATATCAATTTTTATTACTGGGAAAGAGAAAAGCTATAATTACAAAGTGTATGCAATGTTATATTTATTAAAAAATTTTGAATACCTGTGTGATTCACTTGAAACTATCACTACTCTAGATTTACGACAGCTTCGAATTGGGTGTTCTAATAAAAGAGTAAAGTAAAATTGAGAAAGATAATTTACTTGAAAAGTTGTTTCATAACCATCTTTTGTAAGCTGATAAGGAATTGCAAAGACTCCAGCATTTAAAATAAGGATATTCAAAGTTCTAAAAATATAAAATACAATAATGAAATATGTAAAATGATAAATATAGTAAATTTATGACAATATAGTGTTGTTAATGACATTTTTGCTAATTTAAACATACCTATATTTCTGCTTAAATTTTTTTGCTGCTTCTTTAACACTATGTAGTGATGACAAATCTAAATGTAATATATCACACACTGCATTTTGTCTTTCTTGTTTTATTTTTTGTATTGCTTCTTCAGCTTTTTTTAGATCTCTACAAGCTAAGACAACTTTGCATCCGTGTAAAGCTAATGATCTAGCTGTTTCAAATCCTTAAAAATTACAATAAATAAGTAGAGAAAGATATGACCAATTTATAAAATTTTAATTATTATTGATCACAAGTGATCTAAATAATATAAAATATATGAAATATATACCTATTCCAGTATTGGCACCTGTAACTATGGCAACTTTACGTCTTAAATCTCGACCATGTAAAACAGATAATGCTGTGCTACTACCATCAAAACGTTGTCTTACAGGCTGTGAAGATTCTCTATATTCCGTAGCAAATGCAAGCCGTGGATCAGTATAGGTTGTTGTATGATTCTTATGATCAACAAATAAGACTTGACCATCTTCTGATATACATTTTTCCCATCCAGATGGTAATTCTTATTAACAAATAACATTATCAAATTTTACTCACAATAATTTAGCTTTGCAACTTGTTAATAACTGTATAATCATTCATCATCAAGTTGAAACTATATAGATGTAAATATTTAAATATCAATTATAACTGGGTATAAATATGATAACAGTTCTTTTTATACTTTGCTGTAATTACATGTATGAATCTGTTTATGTAACTTTCTATATTCGTATGATATAAATAGTCAATTAAAAATTTAGATGACATATGTATAAAAATTTATATAGTAACATTGTACCCCCTTCAACAATCTTTGTACGACCAGTTCTAGGATGTGTCCATTGTGTGCCTTTTGTGTAATGACTACAAAAAGAAAAAGATAATTTATAAAATGATATTTCAGATTGATAATATTATATTATATTGATGTAATACTAAGGTCTACTGTTATGATATGTATTAATACGTAAATTTATATAATAATAATAATATTAATAATGACGAATGTTATTTACTTTACATAATATACATTCCCAGTATTAGTTGTCATTTCCTCCCATCCAGGTGGCAATTCATCTTCACTGTCAGAATCATTTAAAATCCCTATCATTTTGTCTTTATCCTTATTTAAAATTTTAATCTTATTTAAAATTTTAATCTAATAGTTATTATTTTATTCGTATTTATTGACTACATCATTTATATATCATGAGTGATTTCATATATAACATATAATGGCTGGTATGTATTACCAACATTATAATTTAAAGAACGTGATATGGTAGTCATAAGAAATGATGAAAAAAAAATTTATTGAAAAGAGATATTGCACAAAATATTTATATGTTTATAAGAAGGAAAAATATTGAAATGGTATACTTATAAAATATTTTTAAATTTATTATCAAATACGATACGATTATATTACTTGTATTATCTTATTTTATTTGACATATATTTAAATATATGTATTTATATACATGTTGCATATTCATGATTTATTGAATATTATTTTGAAATGAATAATAAAATGAATAATAATAAAATTAAATTTCCTACATAAATAAGGTATTTCTACGAAAATTATTTGTGTTGTGTGTGCATGTGCGCGCGCGCATGATGTAAATATAGATGTTGTAACAAATGAAACACATATAATAAATGAAATATTATTAAAAAGAAAATATTAAATAAAAATTAAATATGAAGTATACAAAGTATAAAGAATGAATGAGCTTAAATTTAAAAACGATTTGAGTTCTATCCTGAATGAAGTCAACTGCGAACCGCACCCGCAGTTTACGTACAATCGATAGTAGATTTCATTTCTGTCAAATGGATAATGGCAGCGACGGCAATTGATATAATGTTGCAGAACAATGGATTTCAATCGAAGAAAAAAGAGGATCCAGAAAATAAAGACAATTTATGGTGTGTAAAAAAAAATCCTTTTTGGAAATTTTTATAATGTAATATGGGCAATAAACAATAGGCAATTGCAGTATATAAATATTTTGACGTTCATCTGGTGTGCCACATATTATAAATCAGAGAATTAGTCAGTTTTAATATTTTATCTTATTTTACTCTCTTTTACGCAGGTCCTCTATTTTGGCCGAAGTACAAAATAGTAGCAGTAACAAATTACCATCGAACAAAAATATTCTTGTCTTAGGTAAGTCTGAAACTATTCTTAAAATGTAAGGTTCTGATGAGACATGTATATTGCATACATAAATATTATTTATTGTAATAAATGTCGCATGTAATATTTATGCTTAATATTTAATGTTGTCTTTAATATATGATTATTGATCTATTTGATTGTTTAAATATTTAATTTTGTTTGTTTAATTTAAATATTTTTAAAATAATTTTACATATTTTATATTAAAAAAGTACAAAAATTATTTCCTTTCAATGATATAATTTTAACGCAGATATTTATAATACACTTGTTATATATTAAAGGTATTCATTAAGCATTTAAATTATATATGAGTAATAAGAAGTCATTTCATTTGTAGGTGACAATGAAAGTGGAAAAACCACTCTTATTGCTAAGTTACAAGGTGTAGAAGATCCAAAGAAAGGTTCTGGTTTGGAGTTTGCATACATCGATGTAAGAGATGATTATAGAGATGGTAATATCAATTAGGAATTAATAATGTTTCAACTTATAATGTGTGTGTTAATGAAGTGTTATAAGAATCTATTATTTGAATTTTTGATTTAGATCAAACAAGATTATCTGTATGGGTATTAGATGGTGATCCTGGTCATGCAAATCTTTTGAGATTTGCATTAAATGCAGAAAGATTTCCACATACACTTATTATGTTAGTCGCTGCAATGACAACTCCCTGGGCTATTCTTGACCAACTTCAATCTTGGGCTGCACTTTTGGGAGATCACATTGATAAACTTTCTTTAGATAATGATACTTGGCAACGGTGCAGACAATTTAGTGAGTCATATTTTTAAATTACTTCTTTCATATACATACATTTAATCATGTACAAAGATTGATTTTCACAACTACATTTTTAATACTAATATTTTTAAGTTTCTATAGTGAAAGATATATTAATAAAATAAAGTAGTTAAAACAATAGAATTATTTTTTACATACTCAGATATAAAAAAATGGCAAGATTATACAGAACCTGGAGATGAATTAGATCCTGGTAGTCCTTTAAGACGAACTAGTCGTAATTTAGATGATGATGCAATGGATAATTTACCATTACCAGAAGGAGTACTTACAACAAATTTAGGCCTAGATGTTGTTGTTGTTATTACAAAAACTGATTATATGTCTACTCTTGAGAAAGAACATGATTATAAGTAAGGTTATAATATAAATATTACTAAAAAAGGGTATAATTCGTGAAAAATGACTTTATTTGTTTAATTTCAATTTTTTGTAGGGATGAACATTTCGATTTTATACAACAATGGATAAGACGATTTTGTTTGCAATATGGTGCAGGGTTATTCTATACATCAGCAAAGGAAGATAAAAACTGTGATTTGCTTTATAAATACCTTACACATAGAATTTATTCATTACCATTTAGAACACCTGCTTTAGTTGTTGAAAAAGATGCAGTTCTTATGTATGTAATTTCATTAAGTATAAACATTTATATATTTTTAATATTTTAAAGATGATTTTAATTGCAGACCCGCTGGTTGGGATAATATGAAAAAGATCAGCATTCTTCATGAAAATTTGCAATCAATGAAACCAGATGATTACTACAGAGATGTTATTGCACAACCATCAATAAACAGAAAAGTATGTGTATGTATAAGCAAATTTTATTTTTAATGTTTTATAATAAAACATTATTTTACTAATTAGTGTGTAGCTAGAGAAGTAGAAGTACAAGCAGAAGAAGAACAAGCTTTCTTGGCGAAACAACAAGCTGCATTATTAGGTATAAAAGATCCAACGCGATCTCCCACAACCAGGAATCAGGCAAGCACTGGACCAGTTATTCAGGTTATACCATTTATAATTGGAGCATGCTTGTCATGTTACATGCAGTTAATAATCATCTAGTATTGAATAACAATGTCTTCGTGGTTATTTTATGTATTTCTATCATGTGTGTCATCATTATATTCTCACCTTTTAACAGATAATGCTTATTCACATTAAAATTATTCTGACATTAATACCTTGAAAATTTTAACTGTAACTGATGTGTCAGTGAATGTTGCTTTCTATATTCTTGTATCATTTACATTTACATTTCAGAATAAATGTTTCGTATATTAATATTAGGATTATTAAGTATTTTTTGGCATTGATATTTATCTATTATGTTTAAGTTAGTAGTTTCCCATTGTATAGCTATGAAGCAATATTATATCGTAATAAATTATATTTTCGTATATATTCGAATCTGAACTAACATTAATGTTAATATGTGTATTTTGTTAGATTAAGACAGACGAAATATTTGCATACATGAGTATTTCATATTTTGATAGGTTAAATTTTAATTACATATTCCATTATCAAAAGCATGTTCTAATCTTTGTGGTATGATCTGTTACAGTATAATTACAAAATTTCATCTTGCAAATATTAAATATTTTTTGTACAGGTTGCATCACCAAATAAAAAGTTAGATCCCAAAGGTACTGGAGCTACACAATCTGGAGAAGGTGTTCTAGCTAACTTCTTCAATTCTCTTCTTCATAAAAAGACTGGAAGCCCTGGATCACCAGGTACTGTAGGTACAAGTCCAATAAAAATTGGTGGGTATTATAATGTATTACAAAAATTTAGAATATTATAGGCTTTTGATATTTTAAATTCAAAAAAATTTTATATATTATTTATTTTAGATAATGCATCAGTAGATAAAGCAACTATGTGTAATGATGCTGCAGTGGAATTAGATCGACTTACTCGAACGAAGAAACTTTCTCCTCCCAATTTAAATTCGTCATCTGAATGTTAAGGAAATATATTTTCTTTGCGACCCATATATATTGAATTTTATGTCACAAATATCATTAATGTAATAATGTTTCAATGATAACTGAGTAAATGTAAAGTATATTTACATGATTTGCATTACACAATTTGCAATGTTTAAAATTGATATAGAAATTGTTTTTTCATATTTGTATTTATTATATTGGTATATATTTACTACTTTGATATAATGCATAATAACCTAAAAACATTTTATTTTAATTTATTATCTTTTATGCCATATATTATGGTTTAAAACATTTATCGCTTACTAATTTAACACAACTGTTTTAAAAAATACTTACAATTTTTTATAACTTGTTATAAACAATAAAATACTTACAATAAATTTTTAATCGACAACTAATGATCATATTGTGCAAAGCACAAATAAAAATATAAACAGTATATTTTATGAAATTTTTATAGCATATTATAAAATGGAGCACAATTGCATAATCTAAAATAATTTTTTCTTTAATTTTTAAAAATAATCATTTTTAGATTGTAGATTGCACATTTTTTATGTATAATTATTTGCACATTAGTATTATAGTTCTTTTGGTATTGAGTACATAGTATTACAACTGTTTATTATGAATGTGCAATAAAAAATTCAACTATATTTGAATGGGTCGCAAAGAATTGTAATTAATCAATAAGAATAGTTGAATTCGATTCAGAAACGAATGCGGTACTGAGAAATAGAAAATAACGAACTGTGACACATCAATCTTGTCTGTTGTGTCTCAGTCTTAATAACAATACAAAATTGCTAGAATGTTATTAATGTAATTAAATATTTAATATAGTAATACATTCTAATTATGCTTACGCACATGTCCCCACATCTTGTTATAGTAAATTATTTAATAATTATCCATAAATAATGGAAAGGATTTTTTTTATTGCTCGTAAATAGTTTCGTTTTTTCTTTAAATAAATAAACACTTCTATTTATATAACATTGTTCTCGTTGATGAAAGTCGGCTGAATAATTCTCTCCTGTATTCGGTCTAATTTATCAAGTGCCGTTACTGTAACGTAAATGAATCATTCGAATGTATGAGATAGTATTTTATATGAATGTTAGATTTAGAAGAGATTTCTTAACTAAAGACACGGGTTTGTCTTTGGTTTGAAAATAATTCGTAGTATGGTTATAAAGCGAGTGTATGGTTACGAATCAAGTGAAACTTTGTCAACTTTTAAAAGAATTTTATGTGAAAGGGAAAAATCTGTAAATTCAGTTACTAATATGGCTTTCTGTATATGAAATAATTAAAATTCTTGATCAAAAATAAATAATTTTTCATAAACACACTGTTTATTATTATTATTGCGATAAACCTTAATGAATTTATTTTTTTATACATATTTTTATAACAAATATATTTTATAGAATATTTTTATAACAAATATTAAATAGATAAGAAAAAATATTTTTATGTTTTAAATGGGAAAAAGTGTTATCAATCAATATTATTTTGTAATTTTCTA